TAGTTGGCTTCATCACTAAGTGGTATGGTGCGTATTACGACGTGAGCTTTTAATTTTACTGAGCTTATTTTTTGTGCGATTTTGGTTCTGTTACGTTGCAAATCATTATATTTCGATGTTCATCATTGCAGAAACTGTCTGAAAAGACTCAGACAACCATTGCTGATGCAAATCAGATCGCTGAAGAGGTTTTGTCCACCATGCGAACAGTAAGGTGAGAACCTCCATATCTAACAGAATTATGAGAAAAATTCATGTCTCAGATCATTTGCATGCGAGCGACGAGAGGCGGATCGATTTGAGCATAAACTTGGGGACACATTGAGAATGAACAGGAAAAAGTGGGTTCGCTCGATTATTTGGGTTTGGATGTTAACCTTAACCTTTTGAATGTGTGTTGTTTTAGAGCCATCGCTTACATGGGTTACTCATGGAATACTGAGTTTTGCGACAATGCTATTTTGGTAGCCGTACTGTTCTATGGAGGACATCTAGTCATGTCAAGTGAGTAGGATATTTTTTACCAACTCTCTGTTCATTCGCATACTCTGAACACCAGCTTGAGGGAGACTTGCTGCGAAAGACTGTATGCGCTGACTTTGTTTATAATTTTTTCCCCGTTTTTTGTTGTTTCCGACGCAATGGTTCAAAAGAAGGTGAATTCAAATCCATCAAAATATGTCTGAAGGACTTGCGCGTTTTCGCCTCTCTGGCTTACCTAAAGCCCCCTCCGTTGGTGTTATAAGCGCGAGTGATTAGGTTTCGTACAGCCTATGTATCTGATTTGAGCTGTTCGTTATTTTTTGGTAATTCTTCATGAACAAAGTAACTTTTACATAACGAGACATGTTGTTCATTCAAGGCTTCAAGTGTTCTTACTTTCTGATGCTCATTTGTTATTTTTCAGATATGATGACTACCGAGGACCTAATCAAATTTCTTCTCTACCAGTTGCAACTCGGCGAAAATTTATATGTAAGTCATCTCATAACGTGTTGTTTCCTTCAGTTTCAATGCTTTCACAGCTCTTATTTTTGCTTTCTCTCGTGCTGGGATGAAGCAGCCGAATACCCTTGTATTTTCAGAACATCGGGTACGTTATGACTGGTCTGATGGAATGCGTTGGAGCTTCCAGAAAGGTAATTGTTTAATCTGTCAGACTATTCAGCTAGCAAAAGAATTTGTAGGTGTTCGAATACATGCTGCGTGACCCAGAAATTGCAAATGACGGAAAGAGAGAACCACCCCTTGAAGGTCAAATCAAGTTTGAGAACGTGTACTTCACTTATCCTTCAAGACCGAATAATATTGTGTTGAAGGTCTATTTTTTCTCTGTTAGCAGTAGTGACATGTTGCTATAAAATATGTTGCCAGGGTTTGGACCTAACTATACGAGCGGGCCAAACGACGGCATTGGTAGGACCAAGTGGTGGAGGAAAGTCTTCGATTGTAGCGCTGATTCAACATTTTTACGAACCTGATAAAGGAACAATTACCATAGATGGTGTGAATGTGAAAGATATCTCTCACATGTACTACCATCACAAGGTAATTATTATGCTTGGGTTTCTGAAATGTAAAATTTTTAAATTTAAATTACTTTTTTATTTGTTTTATTTTTTAATTTTTTCAAGGTCGCCATGGTGGCCCAGGAACCAGTGCTGTACAACGGTTCCGTTCGTTACAACATATTGTATGG